TGGAAGTGGGAGAAATGCAGCAATAAAGAGATGGGTTGAGTTTGGCCACTGACACCTGTGGACTTGGTTTACAGGGAAAAAAGATGAGCGCGGGTTGGCTGATCTAAAGTTCATGACCTAGCACGAGGGGGCTAGGCTTGTTGAGTATTGGGGAGAGCCCATGGTCTAAAGGTAAGGCAACCAATGGGCACCCTGTGGAGGCTGAATGAGGCAGCCCACCAGAACCTGACCAGTTGGAGATTTTTGAGCCTGTGAACTGGTGCATATTGTTGCTGACTTCATGGATGTCCTGTCTGTATTTGACTTTACTTATGGATGCAGACTTCACAAGGTTCCAACTGGACTGAAGATTCTTGATGTTGAAAAATATGATTGTTTTTTCAGAGAACTGGTTGAGGTAAGTGGGTAGTATATAAATTGGATACCCAAAGTGGTTGGATTACAAACTTTCATAGGTGGGGGGAAAAATTCACAGGATTATAGGGTTAAGGTATAGGTGTTACTTAATTGCAATTGTGACGCTAAAGATTTATGTACAGGTGCCAGGCTGGCAAGGGGTGGATTGAGTTAGTTTATTGTGCCAGCCTGGCCTATAGACATATGTGGGGTTAATTGAAGGGTGGAGGGATAAATGGCTCAGTGAGCCTCGCCTTTCAAGTTCTTGGGTCTCTTGCTTTGTGATGGTCCCACCAGGGTGTAGCTGCCTTAGCAGTTCCCCGATTCAGCTGGCAAGGCTGACTTCCTGCAAGACATCCCCAAGGAGAAGCCACATGGACCTACCCTGATGCAGCCCTGGGTGCTGGAGCACCCGTGTGGAGACCCCTGTCAGTGCTGAGATGCTTACACGTTCACGGACTCAGCTTTCCTCCTGCAGTAAGCATCATTGTGTCTGTTTTGTGAGATGGAGGAGGACTTTGTGGACTGGTGTTGGACATATGGTTAATGGATTAATGTTGGATTTGTGGGTTTGGGCAGCACTGGGTTGGGATGTTTTCTTGATGCACACTTAACATATACACAAAACTCTGTTATATATGAGTTTCTGTGGATTTGTTTCCCCAAAGTACCCAGACTAACACATTTTGGTACCTTGGGAGTGGGGTACTGGAGAAACAAATCATAAGATGGAGAGTAGATGTTTGTTTGACCTCTCCCTCATGGAAGTTTTTCTT